GGACCGTTCACATATCACTATAGAAGACACTACAGGAGAGGAAGGGGCTCTTTAAAATACCATAGTTTACCAAAGAGCCTGAACAACGATGTGATGAAAGAGGCTAACCCGGCAGAGAGTGGCCTCACACTGCGTCTCTGATCTCTGATCTGTTTGTGTTCTGCAGAAGAAGCAGAATGCAGGGAAGAGGAAGATGAACTCCTCCTCACAGCCGGAGGAGAGGAGAGTCAAACAGAGGAGAGTGGAGGAGGAGGAGGAGGAGGAGGAGGAGGAGGAGCAGGTAACGCAGGTAACGCATCACACCTGGAGGAGCTGTGGACCCTGAGCTCTTATTGATAGCAGCTTGTTACAGATGGAATACATCCTGTTGTTTACATGGATAATGATGAGATGTCTGTGTGATGTGGCAGCCCCCCCCCCCTGCTGAGCGAGCGGACCGGAGGGCACCACAGAAGAAGAAGGACAGCGGCAGCGTGATGTGGCAGCCCCCCCCCCCTGCTGAGCGAGCGGACCGGAGGGCACCACAGAAGAAGAAGGACGGCGGCGTGAAGACTTCCTCTCTGTTCAAACACAACCCCGACATCCCCGCCCTCCTCAGGTACTGCGCTCTGATTGGTCCGTCACAATGCTCATCATCATATCATTTCCTCCCATTAATCATCCTGCTCCTCCTCCCCCACTCCCTTCCTTCCTTCCTTCCTTCCTTCCTTCCTTCCTTCCTTCCTCCCTCCCTCCCTACTTTTATTAATTCCTCTCCTCCTCTCAGTCCGGTTGTCTCTCAGGTGAAGGAGAAGATTTTCACCAGTGACTCGTTTTCAGACATGGACCTGCACCCACACCTGGTAACACACACACACACACACACACACACACACACACACACACACACACACACACACACACACACACACACACACACACACACACACACACACACACACACACACACAACGCGATCTGTAATATATTAACTGTTATTGTTCTGCACTCTGATTGGCTGCTTCCTGTCCATCAGGTGGCCACACTCAACAAAGTCCTCAATGTTTCCACGGTTACCAGGTACGCGCACACACACACACACACACACACACACACACACACACACACACACACACACACACACACACACAATGTCTCCATCATTTAAAAGGACAGTGAAACTTTAACGTATTTAACTTTGTGTGTAAATATGACGTGTGTGTGTTCAGCGTTCAGAAGCAGACGATGCCGGTTCTCCTGTCGGGTCGTGACGCTGTGATCCGATCTCAGACGGGTTCAGGTGAGACCACCATCATCATCATCATCATAGACTCTAAGCGTTACATTAATATACACAATGTACACAATATCTGTTTTTTTATTACTGCACATATTTCTATGTAAACACGGCTATATCCTATATTTTTAATGTTATTATAGTTTTCTTTAAATAGTTTTCCATCCGTGTTTTTAGTTTTACTTTTATGTATGCACCACGACACCAAGACAAAGTGTGTGTGTGTGTGTGTGTGTGTGTAGGTAAGACCCTGGCCTACGCGGTGCCTGTGGTCCAGTCTCTGCAGGCTCTCCAGCAGAAGGTCAGCCGCTCCGATGGACCCCTGGCCGTCATCATCGTCCCCACCAGAGAGGTCTGTGGTGCTCACTTACCCCTTTCACACCAAGGCTTTTCCCGTTCTAGCTCCGTGCTAGAGCTTTTCAGGTTCAGAACCGGTTCTTTGGTTCAGCTCCCGCTCTGTTCACACCGCTCAGAGCCCGACTGGTGCTGCCGCTGCTGCGTCATGACGTCACAGTTTACGTCGCTGATTTTCTCCCCAACGGCGCTCACCTCACAACAACAACGGGGGGGGACTGCGTCGGGTCGATGATCGTGTTGCTTTTAATCATACGAAGCCAGATTAAATTAAATAACGACTTCTCCAACCTTATACTTTTCTCCAGAGTGCCGTGGTTCATTGTTTATTAATGTGTTTCATTTAGCGACCGCTGCAGAGCTGGCTGCTCTTCCACGGGAGTGTATTCTCCCGTTAGCTCCGGGTTAGCTCACACGGCTCTAAAGTATTCACTGTCTGACTGTCACACAAGCAGCTGATACATATCCCCAGTTCCCCTTAAGTGAATGTGTGTCAGTCTGAATTGACGCTGTTTGGGGTCAGTCTGAATTGACGCTGTTTGGCATCAGAACGCTGTTATGAAAGTTTCTCTGGTATAACATGGGTGATGTTAGCATAGCAACCGAAGCTAAACTGACTACTTGCTAAGCCGTTTTCTACAGGCACTTTTTACCGACGTATTTTTCATTATGATTCTACTTGTGATAGTCGGACATGACAACCTGTGCAGCCCATGTATTGATTCCATCCGATAGCTGCTATAATAACAAACGTCTGCCTGCTCTCCACAATGATCAATAACAGCGAACGGATGGTCAAAGTAAGGTACAAATAAACAGAATCACACGAAGCCTGGTTAGTGTTGCCTGACTTTATAAAGTGTGTTTTTTTTAACAAGTGTGTGGTTGCGTTCTAGTCACTTTGCTCAGCGCTACTGCTTGTTACAACTTTTATTTGCCGTACTCGCCTTAACTGTTAGCTCAGGTTAATCTCGCCCCCCTCCGACGTAAGCGTGACGTATGCGGTTCTTGCTTCTAGACGGACAACTTTTTGGTGCTCGAAACGAACCGGATTCCGGAGCTTAGAGGCGGCTCCGCTGCGGTGTGAACAGGAAAACCCGGTGCTTTTCAAGCACCAGGTTCGAACCGGCCCTGAAACACCGTTGGTGTGAATGGGGTACCTGTGACACTGGAACCAGTATGAGTCCTCCAATCCAACTTTATTTATACAGCACATTTAAAAACAGCAGACCAAAGTGCTGGACATCAATAAATATATACAAATATAAAAAGCAGCATGAATACATTTAGACAAAACCAATAGGACAAAAAAAAACTAATGTAAAAACACGAGACAATAAAACCATCCTGACAGACTGGAGCCTCAGACACCATGCAGCAACATTTAGAAACACAACAGAAAACCCCAAGTTAGAATCACAGACTGATACGTCTCTCTCTCTGCCTGTCTGTCTGTCTGTCTCTCTCTCTGTCTCTCTCTCTCTCTCTCTGTCTCTCTCTCTCTCTCTTGTCTCTCTCTCTGTCTCTCTCTCTCTGTCTCTCTCTCTGCCTGTCTGTCTGTCTGTCTCTCTATGTCTGTCTCTCTTGTCTCTCTCTCTGTCTTCTGTCTTCTCTGTTACTCTCTCTCTGTCTTCTCTCTCTCTCTCTCTGTAGTCTCTCTGTTCTCTCTCTCTGTTCTCTCTCTCTTCTCTTCTCTCGTCTGTCTGTCTCTCTCTCTATCTCTGTGTTCCTCTCTCTCGTCTTCTCTCTCTCTCTATCTGTCTGTCTCTCTCTTATCTGTCTCTCTCTCTGTCTCTCTCTCTCTCTCTACTGTCTCTCTCTTCTGCCTGTCTGTTGTCTGTCGTCTGCGTCTCTCTCGGTCTCTGCTTATCTCATCTGTCTCTCTCTCTGTATGCTCTCGTCTCTCTCTCTCTCACTATGTCTCTCTCTCTGTCTCTCTCTCTCTCTCTCGTCGTACTCTCTCTCTGTCTCTATCTCTGTCTGTCTCTCTGTCTCTCTCCTGTCTGTAGTCTCTCTTCTCTCTCTGTCTGTTCTGTCTGTCTCTCTTGTCTTCTGTCTCTCTTGTCTTCTCTCTCTGTTCTGTCTCTCTCTCTCCGGTTGTCTCTCTCTCTCTCTCTCTCTCTCTCTCTCTCTCTCTCTCTCTCTCTCTCTCTCTGTCTCTCTGTCTGTCTGTCTCTCTCTCTCTGCCTGTCTGTCTGTCTGTCTGTCTGTCTCTCTCTCTGCCTGTCTGTCTGTCTCTCTCTCTCTCTGTCTGTCTCTCTCTCTCTCTCTCTCTCTCTCTCTCTGCCTGTCTGTCTCTCTCTCTCTGCCTGTCTGTCTGTCTGTCTCTCTCTCTCTCTGCCTGTCTGTCTCTCTGTCTCTCTCTCTGCCTGTCTGTCTGTCTGTCTGTCTGCAGCTGGCCCAGCAGACCTTCCAGACCTTCCAGAAGCTTCTGAAGGTAATGTATGATGAGTTTCTAAATGTAACCATGAACCAGTTATTACCTGTGGGGTCACTCTGAGGATCATGTTCCCCTGCAGCCCTTCACCTGGATCGTCCCTGGAGTCCTGATGGGAGGGGAGAAGAGGAAGTCTGAGAAGGCCAGGTACGCACCTCTGGAGAGAAGATTAGGTCTCTATCATGTGAGGGGTGTATCCTCTGGAGAGAAGATTAGGTCTCTATCATGTGAGGGGTGTATCCTCTGGAGAGAAGGTTAGGTCTCTATCATGTGAGGGGTGTATCCTCTGGAGAGAAGATTAGGTCTCTATCATGTGAGGGGTGTATCCTCTGGAGAGAACGTTAGGTCTCTATCATGTGAGGGGTGTATCCTCTGGAGAGAAGATTAGGTCTCTATCATGTGAGGGGTGTATCCTCTGGAGAGAAGGTTAGGTCTCTATCATGTGAGGGGTGTATCCTCTGTAGAGAAGATTAGGTCTCTATCATGTGAGGGGTGTATCCTCTGGAGAGAAGGTTAGGTCTCTATCATGTGAGGGGTGTATCCTCTGGAGAGAACGTTAGGTCTCTATCATGTGAGAGGGGTGTATCCTCTGGAGAGAAGATTAGGTCTCTATCATGTGAGGGGTGTATCCTCTGGAGAGAAGGTTAGGTCTCTATCATGTGAGGGGTGTATCCTCTGGAGAGAAGGTTAGGTCTCTATCATGTGAGGGGTGTATCCTCTGGAGAGAACGTTAGGTCTCTATCATGTGAGGGGTGTATCCTCTGGAGAGAAGATTAGGTCTCTATCATGTGAGGGGTGTATCCTCTGGAGAGAAGATTAGGTCTCTATCATGTGAGGGGTGTATCCTCTGTAGAGAAGGTTAGGTCTCTATCATGTGAGGGGTGTATCCTCTGGAGAGAAAGTTAGGTCTCTATCATGTGAGGGGTGTATCCTCTGGAGAGAAGATTAGGTCTCTATCATGTGAGGGGTGTATCCTCTGGAGAGAAGGTTAGGTCTCTATCATGTGAGGGGTGTATCCTCTGGAGCAGGTTTCAGTCTCTATCATGTGAGGGGTGTATCCTCTGGAGAGAAGGTTAGGTCTCTATCATGTGAGGGGTGTATCCTCTGGAGAGAAGGTTAGGTCTCTATCATGTGAGGGGTGTATCCTCTGGAGAGAAGGTTAGGTCTCTATCATGTGAGGGGTGTATCCTCTGGAGAGAACGTTAGGTCTCTATCATGTGAGAGGGGTGTATCCTCTGGAGAGAAGATTAGGTCTCTATCATGTGAGGGGTGTATCCTCTGGAGAGAAGGTTAGGTCTCTATCATGTGAGGGGTGTATCCTCTGGAGAGAACGTTAGGTCTCTATCATGTGAGGGGTGTATCCTCTGGAGAGAAGATTAGGTCTCTATCATGTGAGAGGGGTGTATCCTCTGGAGAGAAGGTTAGGTCTCTATCATGTGAGGGGTGTATCCTCTGGAGAGAAGGTTAGGTCTCTATCATGTGAGGGGTGTATCCTCTGGAGCAGGTTCCAGTCTCTATCATGTGAGGGGTGTATCCTCTGGAGAGACAGATGTAACCTGGCTGCTCCCTCCTCAGGCTCCGTAAGGGGATCAACATCCTGGTCTCGACCCCCGGGCGCCTGGTGGACCACATCAAGAACACTCTGGTTATCGCCTTTAGCTCCGTGCGCTGGCTCATCCTCGACGAGGCCGACCGGTAAGCATGCTTCATTTGATCAGGAGAGAGAGAGCAGGCACTTGGTGGATGGCTGTGTTGTGATTGTGTGTAACTGCTGTGCAGGATATTGGACCTGGGTTTTGAGAAGGATCTGACCGTCATATTAAACAGTCTGAACACCACGGGACCGAGCAGACAGAACGTGCTGCTGTCGGCCACGCTGTCACAAGGTAAACATCAACAACAACATCACAACAAACTCCAGAGGCCTGCACTACGAAGCCGGATGTTCTCTTAGCTAACTTCAGGGTAAACTCTGGCTTTCCGGTCCTACGACGCTGGTTCTCTTTTTAGCGGGCTAGATCTCCATGGTAACTGATGCTGAGCGGCTAACCTGGTCCGGAGCAGGTTAGGTTGCAGGCTAAGAGATCAACTCAGTGAAAGCACCGCCTGCTGACCAATCAGAGCTCAGTGTGCGGAGTTTAAAGATATCAAGTCATATTACAGGATAGAGGAAATACAGAAAAACTGCCGTTGCAGGAAAGACGGCCGGCAAAAATCACCTGACTGTGTGAACGTGAACATTAATAGAATATCCCCTCCTCCCATCTTCAGAGCAATCTGACTATTATAACATTAGCGTTAAGAAAGCTTACTTAAATATCTGCCACAACATAAGTAACCGGATCAGAGTAACATTACGTACAGTCTGCGGCACTGTGAGTGCAGACGTTGATGTGTCCCATTATCATTCATATCATATCACATCATAATGTATCATATATTTCCTTATCTGAGTCAGCTGAGCCGTATCTGGCCGTGCAACACTCACAGTGTCACATACTGGATGCAGAAGTATTATTTTAAGCAACACATTAAGTTGACGAAACACTGGAGTCAAATGTAATTAAAGTCAGATCGTGTCTTAGACGGGGCAGTGATATCATAAACCTGTTAATGTACGCATTCAAACACTTTCTCTGTTACCAGCTGTATTCACCTTGCAGGTGCAGCTATGTGGCTTTGATCCTGGATAAAGTGTTTAAGACATGGATGTTTAAAGTTTAACTTCTTCATATTTGACTAATATTAAAGTTCACTTTTCATTCAGGAAGTATGACGCTGCGCTGTCAGTACGCTTCTCCATGTTTGTGATTGGTCGAATGCTCCAGATACCACCCCTTTCATGTGAACGCGCACCTAACTAGATAGGACACGGCTGGCTTGAGAGATCCACTTGATAACCAGCGTCGTAGGACAGCTTAGCGAGAGCGTTTTTTTTTTTGGATTAAGTCAACCGGCTAACTCCAACATATCCAGGTTAGGTTGAACCGGCTTCGTCGTACAGGCCTCTGAGGGACTACATGAAACTTTATTGATCCAGAGTTTGGGATTGTTTTTGTTATTTAGAGATAACGTCCTTAACAAAGTGTCTGTGACATCGTGCTGCGTTCAGGTGTCACTCGGTTAGCAGACGTGTGTCTCAACGACCCGGTCACCATCAACGTCTCTGGCCCCGCCTCCTCTGACCTCACGGGCCCTGCCAAGGACCCCGGCTCAGCCGACCAATCAGAGAGCTTCACGCTGCCCGAGGCCCTGCAGCAGTTCGTGGTGGTCGTGCCCAGCAAGGTGCGCCTCGTCTGCCTCGCTGCCTTCATCCTGCACAAGTGCAAGGTAAATAAATACTGTTCATATTTACATTCATCATGTGACCGTCTGTGTTTCCTGTAGATATTTAATTGCTCTTTTTACGGCTCTGTTAGTGTACAGTTTGATTATCATGCTGCTGGGTTTATTGGATCTTTGTAACTCTGGCACAACAATTTACGTCTGGTTAAATAAAGTCCTATCTTATCTTAAATATATATAACATCCATAAATATGACATCATGGAGCGTACCTGGATCATCGTATATATCCTGCCGTTACCGGAGTGATTGAAGGACTTCTAGATAATCAGAGAGCCAAACATTGTGTTCAGTAAACCCCCAGGAGACATCAGGGACTGCGTGCGCTCCAGTGCGCTCCAGCTGGACTGCGTGCGCTCCAGCTGGACTGCGTGCGCTCCAGCTGGACTGTGTGCGCTCCAGCTGGACTGTGTGCGCTCCAGCTGGACTGCGTGCGCTCCAGCTGGACTGCGTGCGCTCCAGCTGGACTGCGTGCGCTCCAGCTGGACTGCGTGCGCTCCAGCTGGACTGCGTGCGCTCCAGCTGGACTGTTCTCACATTAACAAACACTCGATCAGAACACATACACAAGATTCACAAACAGTTGAATACCGATTAGCATTGATGCTATCTTAACATTGGATTTCCCATACACATGCTAACGCGATTAGCATTGCTCATTGGTCATCTGTTTTCATCACGTGTGCAGGTCAGTGTTTTTTAAATGGACCCCTAAAATATAATCCCTGTTGTTGTTTTTCAGTTTTCCAAGAACAACAAACTGATCGTGTTCACGTCGAGCTGCGAGGCCGTCGAGTTCCTGCACGCCATCTTCACCGCCGTGCTCTCCACCAATCAGAAGCCCCCGCTCAGCTTCCTGAGGCTCCACGGCAACATGAAGCAGGAGGTAAGATTCATGTTGAGTAGGGGTGTAAGGGTTCACAAACATTTTGGTTCGGTACGTTTTCGGTACAGCAGAAAAAATGATCACAAAACATAAAATATTTGTTGGGGGTTTTTAATTATTATTAAACTGAATATTCACTCAAATAAATACAAAATATAATAAAATAGACATTAAGGTGCAGCATTTGGATGAACTGAAATCATCTGTATTTGAACTGTACTGCACTAGCACCTAAGCAGCCAGCTTGACATTAGGCTTTCATTGTATTTTCATGTTTTAAAGAAAGATGAACTTGTCCACATTGCTTGCTGAAAGGGCAGATCTGCTGGCACTAACAATGTCTCCTGCTGTGGAGAACACCCTCTCTCTAGGGACAGAGGTAGCAGATACAGACAGGTAGCGCTTTGCTAACATGGCACTGAACTTGTTGCGAGTGGTGGAGGCTTAAATGCTAGAGGGAGTTGGGTTTGCACTTCAGTCATTTTTATTTTGGTACCGGTGATATTCACGTTCGGGTGATGCCTTTTCAAATGAGTGTGCCAGTTTGATGTATTGCCAGCCGCGTAACCAATGTTAGTTGAACAATGCCGACAAACAGCTTTGGTTCGGTCCACCTGTCTTTGTCCGTCATCCTTGTACGTAACTGCAAAACCAAAATGTTCCCAAACCGGAGACTTCAATGATGCTGGAGGATTTTCCAGCTCAACTTTATCTGCGTTCGCCATTTCGACAGTTCCTCAAATGACTGACTAAATTTGAACGCATCCCTGTGACCAGCTCTCATAGTATGCCTCTCGTCCAATGAAATGACTTGGTCACTCTGACGCGTTGAACCCAATGGGGAGGGCCGGGACACATGTTGATGAAGAAGAGACATGAAGAAGAGGGGACACATGTTGATGTAGAAGAGACATGAAGAAGAGGGGACACATGTTGATGTAGAAGAGACATGAAGAAGAGGGGACACATGTTGATGTAGAAGAGACATGAAGAAGAGGGGACACATGTTGATGAAGAAGAGACATGAAGAAGAGGGGACACATGTTGATGTAGAAGAGACATGAAGAAGAGGGGACACATGTTGATGAAGAAGAGACATGAAGAAGAGGGGACACATGTTGATGAAGAAGAGACATGAAGAAGAGGGGACACATGTTGATGTAGAAGAGACATGAAGAAGAGGGGACACATGTTGATGAAGAAGAGACATGAAGAAGAGGGGACACATGTTGATGAAGAAGAGACATGAAGAAGAGGGGACACATGTTGATGTAGAAGAGACATGAAGAAGAGGGGACACATGTTGATGAAGAAGAGACATGAAGAAGAGGGGACACATGTTGATGTAGAAGAGACATGAAGAAGAGGGGACACATGTTGATGAAGAAGAGACATGAAGAAGAGGGGACACATGTTGATGAAGAAGAGACATGAAGAAGAGGGGACACATGTTGATGAAGAAGAGACATGAAGAAGAGGGGACACATGTTGATGTGGAAGAGACATGAAGAAGAGGGGACACATGTTGATGTAGGAGAGACATGAAGAAGAGGGGACACGTGTTGATGAAGAAGAGACATGAAGAAGAGGGGACACATGTTGATGAAGAAGAGACATGAAGAAGAGGGGACACATGTTGATGAAGAAGAGACATGAAGAAGAGGGGACACATGTTGATGTAGAAGAGACATGAAGAAGAGGGGACACATGTTGATGTAGAAGAGACATGAAGAAGAGGGGACACGTGTTGATGAAGAAGAGACATGAGGAAGTGGATTTAGCAGAATAGGTCCCCTTTAATGCTCAGGTGATGAAACCCAACATTGCGTATCGTAGACGTGATGATCTGCCGTCTGACAGGGTGGGTTTGTTTTCTCCACCAGGACCGCACGGAGGTGTTCAAGGAGTTCTCTGTGTCCCAGTCTGGAGTCCTGCTGTGCACGGTCAGTCAGTCCCCCCCCCCCCACTATACCCACACTAACACAGTGTATTATATTCAGAATACATCACAGCATGTTACTGGGAGTTCATTTTGTTTTTGTTTGTTTCAGGACGTAGCAGCCAGAGGTCTGCACCTGCCTGCGGTCACCTGGATCATTCAGGTGTGTGTGTGTGTGTGTGTGTGTGTGTGTGTGTTCCCAGTTCACTCCTCTAAACTCCAGTGTGTGTGTGTGTGTGTGTTCCCAGTTCACTCCTCTAAACTCCAGTGTGTGTGTGTTCCCAGTTCACTCCTCTAAACTCCAGTGTGTGTGTGTTCCCAGTTCACTCCCCCCACAGCAGCAGCAGAGTACGTTCATCGTGTCGGACGTACGGCTCGTATCGGAGGAAGAGGAAGCAGCCTCCTGTTCCTCACTCCTGCTGAGACCGCCTTCACCACCGAGCTGGCCAATCACAACATCAGGTCTGTAACACTGACTGTCTCTCAGCCAATCACAACATCAGGTCTGTTACACTGACTGTCTCTCAGCCAATCACAACATCAGGTCTGTAACACTGACTGTCTCTCAGCCAATCACAACATCAGGTCTGTTACACTGACTGTCTCTCGACCAATCACAACATCAGGTCTGTTACACTGACTGTCTCTCAGCCAATCACAACATCAGGTCTGTAACACTGACTGTCTCTCAGCCAATCACAACATCAGGTCTGTTACACTGACTGTCTCTCAGCCAATCACAACATCAGGTCTGTTACACTGACTGTCTCTCAGCCAATCACAACATCAGATCTGTTACACTGACTGTCTCTCAGCCAATCACAACATCAGGTCTGTAACACTGACTGTCTCTCAGCCAATCACAACATCAGGTCTGTTACACTGACTGTCTCTCACCCAATCACAACATCAGGTCTGTTACACTGACTGTCTCTCAGCCAATCACAACATCAGGTCTGTTACACTGACTGTCTCTCAGCCAATCACCAGAGACTAGAAGCCGATGACACGGATCAGATTCTTCCGTATATCATTTGAACATCAGGTTAGCTTTGTGCTAAATGATAACTGTGTTAACTTCCTGTTGTGTCTCAGCCTATCGGAGATGAAGCTGGAGGACATCCTGTCCAGTCTGATGATGGACGACACCTTCAAGGGCCGTGGGAGATACCACAGCCAGGTGAGAACTGTTTTTAGATTTAAAGAAATGTTTGTCGTTTCCATTCAAAACATTTTGTGAAATGTAAGATTTTATTCTTTAGTCTCAGTTTCCTTTTATTTTAGTTTCTTTCAAATGTTTCTGTTTTCCTCTCAAACTCCCTTTATATATATATATATGATATATATATATATATATATAAGGAGTATATATATATATATATATATATATATACTCCTTGCTATATTTTTGACATTTTTAGTTAAATCTCTCCAATCTTTTTGTCTCTCTCTCACCTGTCTGTCTCTCACCTGTCTTTCTCTCCCTGTCTGTCTCTCACCTGTCTGTCTGTCTGTCTCTCACCTGTCTGTCTCTCCCTTGTCTGTCTCTCCCTTGTCTGTCTCTCACCTGTCTGTCTCTGTCTGTCTGTCTCTCACCTGTCTGTCTGTCTCTCACCTGTCTGTCTGTCTCTCACCTGTCTGTCTGTCTCTCACCTGTCTGTCTGTCTGTCTCTCTCTCACCTGTCTGTCTGTCTGTCTCTCACCTGTCTGTCTGTCTCTCACCTGTCTGTCTGTCTCTCTCTCACCTGTCTGTCTCTCACCTGTCTGTCTGTCTGTCTCTCACCTGTCTGTCTGTCTCTCACCTGTCTGTCTGTCTCTCTCTCACCTGTCTGTCTGTCTCTCTCTCACCTGTCTGTCTGTCTCTCACCTGTCTGTCTCTCCCTTGTCTGTCTCTCCCTTGTCTGTCTCTCACCTGTCTGTCTCTGTCTGTCTGTCTCTCACCTGTCTGTCTGTCTCTCACCTGTCTGTCTGTCTGTCTGTCTCTGTCTGTCTGTCTCTCACCTGTCTGTCTGTCTCTCTCTCACCTGTCTGTCTGTCTCTCTCTCACCTGTCTGTCTGTCTCTCTCTCACCTGTCTGTCTGTCTCTCACCTGTCTGTCTGTCTCTCTCTCACCTGTCTGTCTGTCTCTCTCTCACCTGTCTGTCTGTCTCTCACCTGTCTGTCTGTCTCTCACCTGTCTGTCTGTCTCTCACCTGTCTGTCTCTCACCTGTCTGTCTGTCTCTCACCTGTCTGTCTGTCTGTCTCTCACCTGTCTGTCTCTCACCTGTCTGTCTCTCACCTGTCTGTCTCTCACCTGTCTGTCTGTCTCTCACCTGTCTGTCTCTCACCTGTCTGTCTGTCTCTCACCTGTCTGTCTGTCTGTCTCTCACCTGTCTGTCTGTCTCTCACCTGTCTGTCTGTCTGTCTCTCACCTGTCTGTCTGTCTGTCTCTCACCTGTCTCTCACCTGTCTGTCTGTCTGTCTCTCACCTGTCTGTCTGTCTCTCACCTATCTGTCTGTCTCTCACCTGTCTGTCTGTCTCTCACCTGTCTGTCTGTCTCTCACCTGTCTGTCTGTCTCTCACCTGTCTGTCTCTCTCTCACCTGTCTGTCTCTCTCTCACCTGTCTGTCTCTCTCTCACCTGTCTGTCTGTCTCTCACCTGTCTGTCTGTCTCTCACCTGTCTGTCTGTCTCTCACCTGTCTCTCTCTCAGAGCTCCTCCAAAGCTCTGGAGCAGGAGACCAGAGAGAGAGCGACGGTTCTTCAGACAGAGTTTGAAAACTTTGTTCATTCCGACGCTCAGTCGCTGCAGAACGCTAAGAAAGGTGAGCTAATGCTAACGTTTGATGCTAACCGTTTACCACTAATGCTAACGTTTAATGCTAACCGTTTACCACTAATGCTAACGTTTACTACGAACGCTAATGTTTACCACTAATGCTAACGTTTACTACGAACGCTAATGTTTACCACTAATGCTAACGTTTACTACGAACGCTAATGTTTACCACTAATGCTAACGTTTGATGCTAACCGTTTACCACTAATGCTAACGTTTAATGCTAACCGTTTACCACTAATGCTAACGTTTACTACGAACGCTAATGTTTAATGCTAATGTTTAATGCTGACAAAATACCACAGGACCATTTTTTTCTTTTTAAAGGACAGGTGTCATGGCCATTTCCACTGATCATAATTACATTGTTGAGGTATACTAAAATAGATTTATACTGTGCATTGTTCCAAACTCACATTGGTTTCTCATACAGCATCTCTGTCAAGCATGTGTATTCAGCAGTATTCACTCTCTCCACTAAACGACTCGTTGGAGCTCTTGCCCCCCCCTCCCTGTGAGCCTAGTGTGCTCCGATTGGTCAGCTCAGCCACTCTGTTCTGATTAGTCAACCACCAGAGAGGCTCCGCCCATGTCTAACAGTGCTTTTTCCGGCTCGCTCTCGGAACATCAGTCTTATAATGGCGTCGGTACAGCCGTATATTTTATACGCTAACTAACCGAACTGTACCTACAACTGTTGTTATAGAAGAGTAAGGTATTTTTACCTGTAATAAACTACTACTGTTTGATGAGAAATCAAATCATGGTTTGCTATATATGAATGATATGTTATAGGAGCAAATCATTCAGGGAAGAAAGGATAGGCCTACTAAGTATTTCCATCAAACTTTATTTTTAGAAATGGACAAAATGAACATAAATATACATATATACACGGTATATCATCAATTCCTCCCCGTTGTCGGCATCTTGCCTATCGCAGCCGGGGCTTTTTAGGACGATGCATCAGTGTGGTAGTCCCGTCATGTATTGTCCGCCAGGATCTGGCTGGACGAAATCAAATGCAAATCACAAAATATTAGAGAAACTTAGTTGTTTTAGATTCGTTAGTAGTAGTTGTGGTAGGAGTGTGGATCTATCTAATCCATCTATCTAATCAACACAGTAAGCTTGCCAGCTAATATGCTAACCTAGCTTTGTTTACTTTGGTAGCTAACACGATATGAACGCTAGCTCGGAGGAACGGCAACTATAATGTAGTGTAATAAAACTACTATGAACAAAAGCTAGTGGTTCATATTAGGCTAGCAATAACGTGTTTATAATTGCAATCTTATACGGGTAGTCTGCTACGTTCGGTCATTCATTGTAACTGGCATGAATATATTGTTTTCCGCTAGCATGTATAGCTAGCCTCGTTAGCTATACATGCTATCAGCGTCGGAGGAAAGCCAACTGTAATGTACCGTCCTTTGGGGGTCTGTGAGCGGGCACAGAGAGGGGATTTCCCCGTTGTCTCTGCTGGAAGTGTGAAATAAACGTAGTTGTTTGATGTTCGTCAATTTGCCAGCTGGATTACAATGCTACTCTACGTTTGCTAGTTGTTCAGTTGTTCAATATGCTATACTATACTATGAACAACAGATAGTGGTTCATATTAGGCTATCAAGCACATGTTTACAATTGCAATCTTATACGGGTAGTCTGCTACATTCATTGTAGCTGGCATAAAAAACAATGTTTTTCTGAGCAAACTCATGTCTAGCTCTTAGTAGCCTTGTTGTTTAGCTCGGTAGCATACACGCTATGCCAGCTATAATGTAATTACGTTTCGCGACTGACCGTACGGTAAATAACCCGGAGTATACTGTCTGAGTATTTCGTGTGTGATTGCAGACATTCTCCTGCTATGAGATACATGTATGCAAGGCCATCTGCTGATATTAGAGTTGATATGGAAACGCTAGCAACTTAGTTAGCACAGTTAGCACTGTGTCAATGGCTTAGCAGTCCGACACACGTTTACACATTTAAACAGTCGTGGTAGATACCTTGTTTGATAAATACACAAATAACAATGCAAACTTACAGGTTGTGTACCCGAATCTTCCCCTGCTCCAAACGGTCCAAACAAGCTGTGCATATCCGGCCTCAAACTGGGCAATGTTTTGCAAGCTTTCGTCTGTGAAATGCCGCGCACACAGTAACGTTCTTCGAACCTCTGAAGGAACAGTGTTAAACAGACATTTCAACCACTGACTTCGTGGTGGTTCTTCCGTCGGTAGGACAAACAGCTCAGATTTCTCCTCACATTTCAGGAAACAGGTCCTTGGCATCGGCATGACTGGATCGATTGTGAACTGAACCAGAGCTTCCAACAGTAAATGTTAGGCTGGCAGAGGGTGCGGCCAGCGCCGCTGGGTGTGGCCATAGCTCTTCGGGATTGGTCCATTTCGTTCCGGGTACGGCATGACATCATGCCGTACCCGGAACGAAATGGAAGACTCAAATGGGCAGTGACGTATCTCCAACGACGCGTTTTGGGGAGGTATTTCCTGTGTTAGAGTTTTACTCGCTACACGGTGTACTTTGAGGGTTTTGACTCTGCACACCGTTTACATGCATAAAAACCTTCATAACTCACAAGGGGACGGGTGATAACCGGAACAGCATGACATGGGCCCTTTAAAGCAATATTTTGATTGGCCCGAGCGGGCAAGTGGAAAGTACGTTATGCTGGCCCGCGGTTTAGGTATTAAGCTCATTTGAGTCCCTTTCCTCAGAGATGCTAGACCTCAGATGTGTTTCAGAGTTGTCCTAACGTGTCCCTCCTGTTCTAACGTGTCCCTCCTGTTCTAACGTGTCCCTCCTGTCCTAACGTGTCCCTCCTGTCCTAACGTGTCCCTCCTGTCCTAACGTGTCCCTCCTGTCCTAACGTGTCCCTCCTCTCCTAACGTGTCCCTCCTGTCCTAACGTGTCCCTCCTCTCCTAACGTGTCCCAACGTGTCCCAACGTGTCCCTCCTGTCCTAACGTGTCCCTCCTCTCCTAACGTGTCCCTCCTCTCCTAACGTGTCCCTCCTGTCCCAACGTGTCCCTCCTGTCCCAACGTGTCCCTCCTGTCCCAACGTGTCCCAACGTGTCCCTCCTGTCCTAACGTGTCCCTCCTGTCCCAACGTGTCCCTCCTGTCCCAACGTGTCCCAACGTGTCCCTCCTGTCCTAACGTGTCCCTCCTCTCCTAACGTGTCCCTCCTCTCCTAACGTGTCCCTCCTGTCCCAACGTGTCCCTCCTGTCCTAACGTGTCCCTCCTGTCCCAACGTGTCCCTCCTCTCCTAACGTGTCCCTCCTCTCCTAACGTGTCCCTCCTGTTCTAACGTGTCCCTCCTGTCCTAACGTGTCCCTCCTCTCCTAACGTGTCCCTCCTGTTCTAACGTGTCCCTCCTGTCCTAACGTGTCCCTCCTGTCCCAACGTGTCCCTCCTGTCCCAACGTGTCCCTCCTGTCCCAACGTGTCCCTCCTCTCCCAACGTGTCCCTCCTGTCCTAACGTGTCCCTCCTGTCCTAACGTGTCCCTCCTGTCTTAACGTGTCCCTCCTGTCTTAACGTGTCCCTCCTCTCCTAACGTGTCCCTCCTCTCCTAATGTGTCCCTCCTGTCCTAACGTGTCCCTCCTGTCCTAACATGTCCCTCCTGTCCTAACGTGTCCCTCCTGTCCTAACGTGTCCCTCCTGTCCTAACGTGTCCCTCCTGTCCTAACGTGTCCCTCCTGTCCTAACGTGTCCCTCCTCTCCTAACGTGTCCCTCCTCTCCTAACGTGTCCCTCCTGTCCTAACGTGTCCCTCCTCTCCTAACGTGTCCCTCCTGTCCTAACGTGTCCCTCCTCTCCTAACGTGTCCCTCCTCTCCTAACGTGTCCCTCCTCTCCTAACGTGTCCCTCCTCTCCTAACGTGTCCCTCCTGTCCCAACGTGTCCCTCCTGTCCCAACGTGTCCCAACGTGTCCCTCCTGTCCTAACGTGTCCCTCCTGTCCCAACGTGTCCCTCCTGTCCCAACGTGTCCCAACGTGTCCCTCCTGTCCCAACGTGTCCCTCCTGTCCCAACGTGTCCCAACGTGTCCCAACGTGTCCCTCCTGTCCTAACGTGTCCCTCCTCTCCTAACGTGTCCCTCCTGTCCTAACGTGTCCCTCCTGTCTTAACGTGTCCCTCCTGTCCTAACGTGTCCCTCCTGTCCTAACGTGTCCCTCCTGTCCTAACGTGTCCCTCCTCTCCTAACGTGTCCCTCCTGTCCTAACGTGTCCCTCCTGTCCTAACGTGTCCCTCCTCTCCTAACGTGTCCCTCCTGTCCCAACGTGTCCCTCCTCTCCTAACGTGTCCCTCCTCTCCTAACGTGTCCCTCCTGTCCTAACGTGTCCCTCCTGTCTTAACGTGTCCCTCCTCTCCTAACGTGTCCCTCCTGTCCTAACGTGTCCCTCCTGTCCTAACGTGTCCCTCCTGTCCTAACGTGTCCCTCCTGTCCCAACGTGTCCCTCCTGTCCCAACGTGTCCCTCCTGTCCCAACGTGTCCCTCCTCTCCTAACGTGTCCCTCCTGTCCTAACGTGTCCCTCCTGTCCTAACGTGTCCCTCCTGTCCTAACGTGTCCCTCCTCTCCTAACGTGTCCCTCCTGTCCTAACGTGTCCCTCCTGTCCTAACGTGTCCCTCCTGTCCTAACGTGTCCCTCCTGTTCTAACGTGTCCCTCCGTGTCCCTCCTGTCCTAACGTGTCCCTCCTCTCCTAACGTGTCCCTCCTGTCCTAACGTGTCCCTCCTGTCCTAACGTGTCCCTCCTGTCCTAACGTGTCCCTCCTGTCCTAACGTGTCCCTCCTGTCCCAACGTGTCCCTCCTGTCCCAACGTGTCCCTCCTGTCCCAACGTGTCCCCTCCTGTCCCAACGTGTCCCTCCTGTCCTAACGTGTCCCTCCTGTCCTAACGTGTCCCTCCTGTCCTAACGTGTCCCTCCTGTCCTAACGTGTCCCTCCTGTCTTAACGTGTCCCTCCTCTCCTAACGTGTCCCTCCTGTTCTAACGTGTCCCTCCTGTCCTAACGTGTCCCTCCTGTCCTAACGTGTCCCTCCTGTCCCAACGTGTCCCTCCTGTCCCAACGTGTCCCTCCTCTCCTAACGTGTCCCTCCTGTCCTAACGTGTCCCTCCTGTCCTAACGTGTCCCTCCTGTCCTAACGTGTCCCTCCTGTCCTAACGTGTCCCTCCTGTCCTAACGTGTCGTGTCCCTCCTCTCCTAACGTGTCCCTCCTGTCCTAACGTGTCCCTCCTGTCCTAACGTGTCCCTCCTGTCCTAACGTGTCCCTCCTGTCCCAACGTGTCCCTCCTGTCCCAACGTGTCCCTCCTGTCCCAACGTGTCCCTCCTGTCCCAACGTGTCCCTCCTGTCCCAACGTGTCCCTCCTGTCCCAACGTGTCCCTCCTGTCCCAACGTGTCCCTCCTGTCCCAACGTGTCCCTCCTGTCCTAACGTGTCCCTCCTGTCCTAACGTGTCCCTCCTGTCCTAACGTGTCCCTCCTGTCCTAACGTGTCCCTCCTGTCCTAACGTGTCCCTCCTCTCCTAACGTGTCCCTCCTGTCCTAACGTGTCCCTCCTGTCCTAACGTGTCCCTCCTGTCCTAACGTGTCCCTCCTGTCCTAACGTGTCCCTCCTGTCCTAACGTGTCCCTCCTGTCCTAACGTGTCCCTCCTGTCCTAACGTGTCCCTCCTCTCCTAACGTGTCCCTCCTGTCCTAACGTGTCCCTCCTGTCCTAACGTGTCCCTCCTCTCCCCACGTGTCCCTCCTCTCCCAACGTGTCCCTCCTCTCCTAACGTGTCCCTCCTCTCCTAACGTGTCCCTCCTCTCCTAACGTGTCCCTCCTCTCCTAACGTGTCCCTCCTCTCCTAACGTGTCCCTCCTGTCCTAACGTGTCCCTCCTGTCCCCTACAGCGCTGCAGTCCTTCCTGCGCTCCTACACCACCTTCCCCGCTCCGCTCAAACACATCTTCCACATCAAGCACCTCCACCTGGGACACACCGCCAAGAGCTTCGGCCTGAGAGACGCTCCGCAGGGCCTCAGCTCCCCCGGGGGGGCGAAGAGCAAGAAGAAGGGCAACCAGAAGAACAACCAGAAGAGAGGGGGGGAGTGCAGCGAAGAGGTGTGTGTGTTGTGTGTGTGTGTGTGTGTGTGTGGTGTGTGTTGTGTGTGTGTGTGTTGTGTGTGGTGTGGTGTGTGGTGTGTGCTGTTTGTGTGTGGTGTGTGTGTGTGTGTGTGTGTGTGTGTGTGTGTGTGGTGTGTGTGTGTGTGTGTGTGTGTGTGTGTGTGTGTGTGTGTGTGTGTGTGTGTGTGTGTGTGTGTGTCATTGCTCATTAACACACACCCCCTGCTGAGCTGATAGACAGCAACACACTCTTATATACAGGTGTGTGTTGTTCACAGCTGCTCCTCACAGTGGGCTTGTCTGGACACAGTCTGACCTCACACACACACACACACTCACACACACACACACACACCTGTAATCATGTCTCTTCTGACTACTGTGTGAACAGTGTGTTTTGTTTACACCTTATCTGTTGCTTTGTCTCCAAACACTACATTTCCCATGAGCCTCAGCTGCTGTTAAAGTATTAATTAATGTTTGACATATTATTATAAGATCTAAATGTTTCTCATGCAGAGTTAGGGTCTCATGTATTTAAATGTAAAGTTTATTAACCTTTAAATGTACTGAATGTGTGGTTGTGTTCAGCTCTGCCAACAGGGAGGAGAGTCTGCTGAGATCTGAGTTCTCTGACGGGAGGGAGGGAGGCAAAGAGAGGAAGAGGAGGAACAAGAAGAAGACTGGAGGGGAGGAGGAGGAGGGGTGAAGAGGAGGAGGAGTGAAGAAGAAGAGGAGGAGGAGGAGGAGGAGGCGAGTTCAGAAGCAGAATAACTTGATGACTGAACTAATAAAATCTCTTTGATATAAATTGTTTCTTACGCTCTTATTTCTGTGGGATTGTGTTTTACCCCACCATTCAGACTGGTAGTGGTTACAGACCCCACCATTCAGACTGGTAGTGGTTACAGACCCCACCATTCAGACTGGTAGTGGTTACAGACCCCACCATTCAGACTAGCAGTGGTTACAGACCCCACCATTCAGACTAGCAGTGGTTACAGACCCCACCATTCAGACTAGCAGTGGTTACAGACCCCACCATTCAGACTAGCAGTGGTTACAGACCCCACCATTCAGACTAGCAGTGGTTACAGACCCCACCATTCAGACTGGTAGTGGTTACAGACCCCACCATTCAGACTGGTAGTGGTTACAGACCCCACCATTCAGACTGGCAGTGGTTACAGACCCCACCATTCAGACTGGTAGTGGTTACAGACCCCACCATTCAGACTGGCAGTGGTTACAGACCCCACCGCTCGTGAACTGTCAACTGGAGGGCGGTGGGCCGATTTCCGCCGTCGATAGATGTCGATAGATGTCTGGCCGTCGATTAGCGTCCTGTCGCCCTACTCAGATTGGTGTGTCCCGCACCGGCGTGTCTTTTCGGCCGTGCCGACGCCTTCCGCCTCCGATTCGACATGTTGAATCGGAGGCGGAGCCTGCGGAGGCCGTCGGCCAAAGAAAGCACTCTGATTGGCTGTTCAGCTTAGCGAAACACTCTTTGCCTGAATGGGAGTGGAGCAGTACAGTACTTAAGTAAATGTACTTTGTTACTGTCCACAATCTGCCTAGTTTAATGTTGTAGCTGTTCAAGATGGTCATTTTCAAATGTTTTAAAAATATACTGTTAGTAGTTAAACCAATAATAATGCTACGGCTGCAACTGACAGTTATGCTATGTAGGCACATTTGTATTTAATCTTAACGCTGTGTGATTAAAAGAATAAACACGAATAGCAGGATAGGCTATATGTGCTATATCTTTCCCCACTGAAAAGGCGCTGCACCGATCCTGTTCACATCTTGGCTCATCTCTGTGCTGCTTGGCTCGAGCTGTAGCATGGAGCTATTTGTTGTTTGTATATATCACGCAGTCTGTCTTCTGGTTGCCTCTTTTGAATGACGAATACACACTACCGCCGCCTGCTGGTAAGGAGAGGTATTGCCACTCGTACGTGCTTCTTGGCCGTCGGCTGAAGTCTTTGCGGTGTGTTCCAGTGCGACTGGCCAAGACGCAGAGACGTGAGGCGACACAACAGTCGTGTTCCATGGGGACGTGTTCGTTGGTGTCAGTTTGGTGTGTCTGGGCCTTTAGATGATGCCGTTTAAACACTTTTAAATAAATAAAGGATGGTGCCGGCCGTCAGCGAACCGAGCCGGTCGTCAGCGAACCCACTGACCCCGGCTCGGTTCGCTGACGACCGGACATTCTGTGATTCTCCAGAACACACAGATGGCCAGTCCGCCCCTGTGTAGCATATTATTTTCGATGACAGATGAGCAGATCGCCATTGGGCTGCCGGCGGTCTCGTTCAGGATCCAAAAATACAATTTAAAAATGTTGCACACTTATTCCTAGTGTGCCACTGGTTACGGTCCCGCGTGCCAATGGTGGCAAGTGTACAAGGGTTGCCGACCCCTGCTCTAAGGTCTCATTCAAACCTAATAGTCACTTCTCTGGTGCGCACCAGACGACAGTTTGTTCCATTGTTTCATTTTTCAGAAGGTTCGGTTTGCGTTCACACGGGCAAACTATAAACTTTAAACACAAGTCATGTGCACATTTACTAAGACACTGTACCTACTTACATTTAAATGTGTACTGCCTGGATTCAGCCATTTTCCGCCAAAGATTTTGGAAATTGGTCCGTGCGCAAAGCATTGTGGGTATTTTAAGACCGCCGAGGATACACATGTGCATCCTCAAAATTTCCCGCAACAAAGGACTCAGTCCTCGGTAGAATTCCAAGGATCCTGTACATTGGAACAGTCCTTCGGCGGGACTCGATGACGTAGCATCCTTGAAATAGTGGCTCTGAAGGATCCTTCCTCGACATTGAGAAACAGCCATTGTTTTGTCCCTTTGACACCAACAGGAAGTCCACAAACATCAGCTGTTTCAAAGGCATCAAAACAGAGTGAAAACATGAAGGTATTTATTTGCATATTTATTGAACATTTAACCCTCGTGTTGTGTTCGAAAGCTGCTGCCGTTCATGGTGTTCATGATTTATCTCAGTCCAAAACCATAGACTATATAAATGGACGTAGTGTCCGTGACGTCACCCATAGGATTCTGCTCCAGCCTGCTCCAAATAAGGGCAAAGAGGCGGAGGCGGGACCTGCTGCCACCGGGCTGGAAGTAAACAGAGCTAGCTCAGGCTAAGAAGCTAAGCTAACATGTTACTGCGTGGCACTTTGGTTTTGATAAAACAGTGTAGTTATATAAACGTTACATTCATAATCAAACGAGACAATCTGCAAGAGAATTAGCTATTTTTTGTTATTCTTAATGCTTGTCATCACGTTAATAAAATAAAAGAAGTACTGATACATAGCAGAACAATTGTGGCGATGTTCAGCTTAATAAGCCTTGTTCAACATAATTTATTTAGCTAATACTACAGCGGGCTGCAGGCGAACCAAGTCCGGGTTTCGCTGCATTCCTTGATCTCCAGTTATAACGCCGGACTCCACCGCCCGGAGCTAACGGAGCCGCAGGGGGCTCCGGGACGCCGGCTGGAGCTGGACGCCGGCTGGAGCGGGACGCCGGCTGGAGCGGGACGCCGGCTGGAGCTGGACGCCGGCTGGAGCTAGCCCCCTGCGGCTCCGTTAGCTCCGGCGGCCACCACTGGGATAATTGGGTCCCCTTTTAACATTTGCTCCCGTTTAGCATTATGGGCGTCATAGCCATAGACTATAAAAGTCTTACCCAAGGCTGAATCATAAACTAAACTGTATACTGTTGTGTACATGTATAAAGGGTTACGTCCTTAGCTGGCTAATAAGCTACAAAACAAGCTAAGCTAACAAGCACACAAACACCTGCTAACGGGGTTAGCATGTATAATATTATCATTTTAGACTTCTTGGAAGTTCTGTTAGTACATTCAACCGCACAGCACGACATTTTAATTGTCTGGTATTTGTAACAACATTCCCTAAAAGGCACAATCACCACGAACACGGCTAAAGGGTCAAGTACAGTAACTACAACTAACTAACGTTGTAGCCTAGCAGAGTGGACAAGTTGCTGTTAGCTGACAGTGAGGCACGTACCTGTCCATCAAAGTGACCACGCCCTCATTTATGCAAACACTTTAAGACCTAATATAAATAAAAGGGTCGCGTTAGAAAACAATTCACTCATAGATTCATAATCATGAAGGTGGAATCTAACTATATCCATCATAATATTTATTGCATCCATAGGTAGAAACATGTTTTTTCTGCTGTGAAATTGGGCATTTTAACATGGGGGTCTATGGAAATGGCTCCTTTCTGCAGTCATCGCCTATTGGCCAATAGATGAACTGCAGTTTGTGGCACTTCCGTATTGGCGTCCCGGCTCTTCCCCAGAGTTTGCCGCTTGGTAAAAACACACAAAATAATGACTATCATCTAATATTGTTTTAACTACAACATAACTAACTCATAATGCATTCATAACCGTACAATCCTGATGTCATTTTATTTCATGGCCCCAAAACACATCACACCACATATTGCACATGTGCATGTGTGTGTTCAGGTTCAAGTGTTAGTGTACATATTCTTTGAGAAAGGTGGAGTTCCCGTGGGGGGGGGGGGGGGCAGAGGGAGGGGAGACCAGGTGCATGTTGCGAATAAAAGTATTGTTACAGTGTATGAAGGGGGAGGGGGAGGGGTGTCTAAAGTCAAAGATGAATCTTGATTGGGCCAAATTTGACGCCGAGTCACCCACAACATGCTGCTGGGTCTCCCCAGACCCCAACACCAAATTATACACTTTTTTTTTAGAGACCTTCAGACTTGGCTAAAATGGTCCAAATCAGTTTTGTAGTGTTTATAAAGCTGTTGTGCAGGATATCATGAAGCCTCGTTCCGATACAAAAAACTAGAGCGTAGTTATTATATAATTTGAACTTGAAGCGGGTCAGGGGCATAGGCGGAGTTTGACATTTGCGCTTGGGGGGGCAAACCTTTTTTACTGATGTCAGTACTCAGTCCCAACTATAGCGTGGGGTGCTACGGATACAGTAGCAATAAAGCCAGCGTTCACCGCACTGAGTATGACTTTTCCACATACGAACACAACTCGTCCCGTCATGCACGCCTCATGCCCGCCGTACACACACACTCATATGGAAGGGGCGGTCTCTCCCCCCAACAACAGTGCATTACATAACTGTAAAACGTATCATAACTGTGCACATCTTATACTTATTTGATAACTACTATATCCCTTGGTTACTTGAACACGCTACAATATTATTAACCAGTGTCTTACCTTATTAAAATATGATACACCAAATATTTGTATTGGAACAGTTTTAGACGTAGTAATGCTGTAACATATTTCAGCCACTAGGGGGGGGCAAAATCCCCCCGCAAAATCCGCCTATGGTCAGGGGAGACCCCAACACAAAGTAAGGGTTAAAACCGTTAGATATTTCTACAGAAAAAACTCCCCTCTGATTTCTCTCAGATGAATAAAACAGTGTTTTTAAGGATTCTCCTCAGACGTCCTGTTCCCCTGCACACCTGATACCTGTCAGGTCCCAGGTCCTCTGACCCCGACAGGTAACCCCCACACCTGCAGACACACAGATGGTGCGTTCAGGTGCTTCACGTGGAAATGCCCTCTATAAAGAAGACCTGTTTGCTGTGTTTAAAACCAGTCGGGAACTCTTTCTCCAATTATTCCCACACCACGGCACAAATGTCGCTAACGACGGATAGAGATCGCTCCTGGATCCGCTCCAGATTTAGATCCGGTCCAGATTTAGATCCGCTCCAGATTTAGATCTGCTCCAGATGTTCCTC